TGACGATTTATTTAAATAATTATCATACGTCGCTTTAAAAACAAACAACAAAAAGCTGAGATACATTCGAAACTTTCTCGGTGGTGTGAAACAAAAAGATACAAAAAAAAAAACCAATTTTCAGAGAGCTTTTTGTTTCCATTTGCGTTGAGGACGACGCTCGAATTTTTTAATTTTAATTTACCAAAGTAAAAACCCAACGTGATAACCGGCTTGAAAAATAGACGACATTTGTATCAAGCAACTACGAGAAACGGATTTGCACTTTCGTTCAATATATAATTTTGCAAATTATTTACGTTGAACTCGGGATTTTATCGCAAATTTCTTACCACTACAAGAAAGTTATTATCCAGATAATATCTCGTCTATCCGAGATATATCCCGGCAAAACGAGAGAGAGAGAGTATTCCTGATTTAAGTTCAACATGAAGCGCGAGGCAGAGGAGCAGAAGAAAATGGGATGGACGCGAGGCGTTTAATTGGCCTGATCCGTTCGAGCGTGAAACAGCTATTAATGATCCCTTCATCACTTTCGGCTCCGGGATATCGCTGCGCGTATCAAAGACCGGAGAACGAATAAACCCCGTTGGTTGAAACCGGACGCTGCTTAAGCCCTAGAAATCCACCCTGAGCTCTAATGAGAGAGAGAGAGAGAGAGAGAGAAAGAGAGAGAGAGATCTCGCTAACTTTCTCTCAGAGCAAAATTTTATTTTATTTTGAATAAAAATATGTTTCTTACAAATCTTTGACTTTTCTTGCAAGAAAATTGTTTGTGAGACGACCGTCACACACGTGTCTTCATTCCGTTTACTCTTCTCGTCGTTAAACACCATAATTAACGTCAAAGAAAAGTAAAGTAATTCAGACTTTATTACAGGACGTAGTTTTGTTTAGTCATTTAAATTCGCGCGAAACTCAATCTACTCAGATTCCTCAATTATTATCATTATGTCTTATCAAAATATCCATCATTTTCCGATAACGTAATCAATCGGTTTTTAACATTGTTTATCCTGACACATCAATATTTATGTATATTGATGTCGCGAATTAAAAAACTTTAATTGCATTACCTTGCAATTGCGCTAATATTATCATGTTGATATAAAATAATTAATAAAATGAAAATAATATTTTGCTGTAATTATAAAATATTTAATTTGTTTTAGAAGCCGGATTTCCTAATCCGTTTTTATAATTTTAATTTCGTCTCAAATTTATCTCAAGATGCTGCGTGGACCGTCTCATTGGCTTGACAGAACATCTGAAAAACAAACTCAAGACCAAAATAAGATTCGACTATAAATATACCAAGAGATGCCAATCTCGAAAAGAAACGGAACAGCGCGTTTAAATAATATGACTGGCATCGTTCCACATAATGATTTCTCGTTAGGTATAACAGCCCGACATAATAGCGCCAATCATCCCTTCCCCCAGAATATCCTTAATTAAACCTCTTTATGTCGCTCGCGTGATCGTGTCCGGACCCCGGGTAAAAATTACGCTCTTTTTCCCTCTTTCGTCTATTCAGCGAACGTATCGTAACCCTCTCGTCTGGTCGCGTTGCTGGGAACCTGTTGCCGATATATCAGGTGATATGTGTGCAAAATTCAATTTAAGCAATAGCCCGGGTCCCCCTAGTCTTCCGCTCGCGCTAGTTAATCTGTTCTTCTTATTCGTTTTTAATGGATTAAAAATTACCGTATGTTCGAATGTGTGAAACTCAATTCTCGAGCGATGGAGAATCGCTTGCGAATCTATCTCTGTCTCTCTCTCTCTCTCTCTCTCTCGCTCTCTCTCTTTCTCTCTCTTTTGCTGAGGTAACTATAAATAAAAGGTAGCACACAGTATATCGTGCGCGATGGTGGCTTGCTGTCAATACCAAAGTTTGATTAACCGATTTAGAGAGTACGCGGCTTGGTTATATTTTGAATTAAACTCGTACTGTCTGGACGTGCGCGCGCGTATGCCCATGTACATGTGTGCGTGAGTGTGAGTGCGCGGTCTCTGCAGACAATACCGATTTATTACCCCCTGCACGGCATTTGCATGCTCGATAGATGCGCCGGCAACAGAGAGAGAGAGAGCGCTCGGATAATCATATAAGATAACGATCCTGCGTGGGAGGCCAATACGGTCATTAAATCGGCACTAACGTTCGCGTGTCGAGAATAAAGACATACGGGAATAGCGATATGCAAATTTTCGATCGCATCGTCTGCGTAAGATCGTTTATCGGACGGCCATTAAGAAAAAATCAACGTGTGTTCGGTAATCCTTTTAACATCCACACAAAACATTTTGCTGTGTAAAAATTCAAATTTGTTTTGTTGTAATTTTCAAAATCGATCTTCGAATCTATGTATTAAAATTTGCGAGACGGAACTTGTTTTGTTGGAACAGATTCAATTTGCGTCATGTGTGAGATAAGAAATGATTTATATCTAATTCTGAAATGAAGAATATTACTTGTTTGCAACGCAAACAAGTTAGCCGCGCGGTAAACACAAAGTTCCGACAACGTTCCTGATGAGCTGATGAGAAGTAATCTATTAAGATTTGCCGTCGCCATGTCGTGTGCAGTATGAGCAAACAATCGAATAATTACGTAAGCTCTAAAATTAGGGAACGTTGTTATCAAACGTCAATTGACAAAGAAGACTTGTCGCGACGGTTAATAATTCAGTGACAAAGTTTACGATTGTGTTTCGTCACGTAACATCTTCCATTCCGGAGTACGAAGGGCAATACATGCGATTGTGTGTGTGTGTGTGTGAGAGAGAGAGAGAGAGAGAGAGAGAGAGAGAGAGAGAGACAACAAAGAAAATAAGAAAAACCGGGATGAGTAATTGTAATATATCGTTCACTTTACATCATTTGGCGAAACCGTTTCGGAGCCAGCACAGACCATATTTATCACATGCGCGAAACAACTATATTTCTTTGTGCCTCGCAATACCGAGAATACTCGTTTCTTTTATAATCTTAACTGAATTTTTATTCGGTGTGTGCCCCCGGTGCATGCGGACGTTATGTAAAATGTCGCTCTATTTTGTTACTGTTTTCACTTACGTTGCACGCTTGTGAAAACAGTACAAATACAATTTGTATTAATTTTACAAGAAAAATTGATTGATTATTCATCGAAATCTAAAGATTGTAATTAACGACGAGATATGTCGTGATAAGATGTCACATCATTGATTAAAAAAATACCAAATATAATAAACAACAGATTTCACAATGTTAAATTTAATTAAAAGACAAAATTGTTGCCGAATGTTTTTTCGCACAAAACTTTTTATTTCCGTATTTCTCTCTCTCTCTCTCTGTCTCTCTATCTACTGTGACATCAGTTAGTCTTTCTCATTAATTATATTTATTCAATAAATCAATATTTTCTTTCAGTTTGTTCTTCACATCGTGCAGGTTTAAGCCGCGCGCCCCAATATCAATACAAAGTGTATCTCCTTTCACGAGATAGACGATAGGTGCGTTTCGACTAAATGGACGTCATTACGAATAGAATATCGAGCAGGCACTTTCTACGTATTTGCTAATTAAAGGTAGCGTACTGATAAGTCACCTCATCAACGAAAAAGCATCCGAATCAGGGTCAGAGTCACTTATATATATATATATATACTTATATATATATATATATATGTACATACATATATATATACATATATATATATAGATGTATTATACACGTTTCACTATTGGTCATTTAATCGATATACGCCAGAACCACACGTCGATTGGCCACGACATAAACAGACCTTTATCATTAGAGAGCTCGATTTCGAGAGTATAATCCAGTTTAATTAGTTGTGTTATTAAGCGGAAAGAACGACTTCTTTGTGTCTCGAGACTTCATCGATACAACTCTGAAATATATTTGACTGCTTTACACGCTTGTAAAGAAAACTTGATCCCAAAGAAACCACCGTAATGTACGCGCGTTAAGGAGGATTATTATATACGATTATATATGAAAAAATATTTTTTTTCTCAACATACAATTTGTTATTAAACCCTGCGGAGTTTCGCGCGGCGAATATTTTATCTCGTTTCGCGGCCTCAGGAAAAACATCATCGAAGAAGCGAGCGCGTCTCTCAGAACGAACGGATTTCGATAATAACATCGCAAATCAGTTTCTGTGTGAAACGCATTAAAACTATTGTTCGCGCGAATGTGTGCGCGTCAAATGTGATCAACGAGATCTAAAAGTTGATATTTAATCACACACGCGCGTTCCAACTTCGTGTCTGTGAATTATTATCGGTACAAGTACCAGATCGATAACGCGAAGCGGTAAGTATAGCTTCGCGTCGAATATTAATGACGAATTGTTTATCACATTTCTGTCTTTTTTCGATTGAAATATCTATAAATTTCGCTCTTTCTTCTCTTCGTCCATTTCTCTGAATTTAATATGACGCAAGTAATTAACTTCGAAACTATTTTACTCGATAATTCGCCGCGACGAAGGTTAGGAACAATTGTTGGCAATGAATAACACAAAAAGAATCATAGCCTGATATAATCGTCGGGAGATCAGACGCGACGTCAAATGCGTCGATAGAATTTTTGACACACGATTCATTATAGTTGTATTCCCCGTACGTCATACATCTCGTGTAGAAAAATTTCTCTTTTAATAGAGAAGAGAACGTAAAAAGAGATCGCGCGCCAAGAAAGATAAATCTGAAACCTTTCGCGGTGGCCGCGTCGCACATAAATCCACATTTTTCCCGCGCCGTAAACTGAGCGATGGCTAGCGGTCGCGCATTGAATTCTCGTCCGCGTACTGAAATAATCGTATCAACAAGAGAGAAACTTGATGTGGATGAAACACATATTCCCATTAACAAAAAGCCTCGGCCATGCGGTTAGGCTTAACGGTCGTAAACATGAAGCGTCAACAATATAATACCGCTATAAAACAACTCTCTCTCTCTCTCTCTCTCTCTCCTTGGTCCTGGCCTACCTTCGTTCTTGTTATTTCCAACGAGGATCTCGGTCTTTTCGAAATCCACCTCTCTCACCAGGTCCAACGGATCTTTGGGTAAGAAGACACCGTCGATCGTTGGAGCCGACGGAAAGCCGAGAATGCCCCAGTAACTGTTCCACTGCTGCACGGACAGGGTTTTTGCGTCCACCGACCTCATGCAGGCCATAACTCGCGCCGGGTTTTCCTGAAGCATCGTCGAGTTGCATCCGCAATCGTCCACCAGCACCCGCGCAACCTGATTCGCCTTCTCGCCGGTCATGTAGCTCCACGGGGCGTTGAGGGTGCCGCTCTGTAGGATACCACGGCGCACCAGACCTCGCGTAACCGGCGAGATCAGATGAAGCGATACCGAGCTACCGCCCGCGGATTCGCCGAAGATAGTGATGAGGTCGGGATCGCCTCCGAAGACGTGCGCGTTGTCGCGCAGCCATCTCAGAGCGAGCGCCTGATCCCACAGGCCCATATTGCCCGGCGCCTCCTCGCTGTTGGTGAAGTGTTGATTGAGATAGAGAAATCCGAAGGCGCCGACTCGATACTGCATCGAAGCGATGATCGCGTTGCTGGCCACCGCCATAAAGTCGGCGTCGTAGACGTCGAGGGTGGCGGTGCCGCTCATGAAACCGCCCCCGTAGATCCACACAAGCATTGCCATCCCGTTGCCGTTAGGATTGTTGTGACGCAGATGCGCCTTCTGCGGCACCCAAATATTTAGATACAAACAGTCCTCGGAGATGTTCGTGTTCGGATTCCACATCTCCTCGCCCTCAAATCCGGGAAAGTACTCGTAGCGCTCCTGGTAGCAGCTGTTCGGCAACGTGGTGGCGTTCAGAATCCCGTGCCAGGGCTCGATCGGCAGCGGTTTGCGAAACCGCAGCGGGCCGACGGGTGGCTTCGCGAACGGCACCCCGTAGTACACGTGAACCTCGCGATCCAGCACCGTGCGGGAGAAACCGCGCATCAGGCCGCTCGTGGTTTCCACCACGAGAGGATCTTTGCCGCTGTCCTGATTACCATGCTGGCCGTTGGTTACGTTCGTTCGCGTGGTGCACGCGCTGTGCAAACTCAGACCGAGCAGCAGCAACAGCAATGAGGACGGACAATTCATCCACTTGCTCATTGTCGGGCCGGATATCTCAATTCTTATCGCGCCGAAAAGGAAATAAGAAAACAACTGTTCTTACTCTCTCTCTCTTTCGCGCGCGCGCGCGCTCTCGGTGTTACTCGAGGCGTGTTACGCGCGGTAGCACCGTGAGAACCCCGACTATTTGACCATCAGTGCTCGCAGACAAAACCCCATTCGCGCGAAAATGAGTTTGTCGAGTTTTCACTCGACACGCGTCAAATCCGTCAGGATTTCGTTCGCTCCGGGAATCGTCTATCGCGATGCCTCTCGTCGTTGTCGTCTTCGTCGTTGCTGTCTGGGGAGATAACGCGAGAAAGGAGTAGTCTTCCCCGTCTCATTCATGCGTCTTGGCGGGGGGAAGGGGAGGCGATTGGGAGGATCGTGATACCATACAGACGGAGGCGCCGCGCGGGGTAAAGGAATGATTCTTTGGCAAAGAGTAAGACGATTTTGAGAGATAGAGTTTCCCTCAGGTGGATCGTCGATCTTGCGCAAGCTGCACTCAAATGCACTTCGCGTGCTGCTTTTTAGCGGACGGAAACTTCGCCGTTCCGTGGAAAGCCACGGAAGCAACTCTTCTCGCGTTTTCGCCCGTCTCGCGTGTGTATGTGTGTGTGTGTGTGTGTATGTGTATATATCGCCGCTACATCGGAATTCGAAGGAAACTAACTTTCGCAATCCGTTAATATTGCGGTGAATAATACATGCGGTTTAACGAAATTTCAATCGCTCGATTTGCCTAAAGACCGTCATTAAAATGCGGTTTGCATGAAGCTAAAATAGCTTTACAATATTGCATCGTCAATAATTACCTCACTCGTCGCATCTAATTGATATACTTTTCCGCAATTCAAGACGTATAGAAAACTACAAATGACTGATCTTTATCATATATATATATGTATATATATACACGTCGTGCGTATAATTATTGTAGTTGTAACGAGAAAAACTTAAAAGTAAAATTATCACGAAGAAATAAAAGAACGCGCGTTTATAAACCACAGTTCGTTAGAAAACTACACCTCGCGTGGACTTCAGCGTTGCAAATTTTTCAGTCCTCTTACTTTTTTTTACAATGGCGCCGCTCGTAGAGATCGTAGTTTTTTTTGTTTTTTATTTTTTTTTTTTAGAGATAATACTTGTTTCCACGAACGATGCGCAGTAAATTTTCGTAACGTCAGGTCTTTATTTTTGTTTTTACGAGCGAAAGAAAATAATCAGAGCTATAAGGATGTTACGACACACTTCCGCGTGATTGTTTTAAATGTCGAAATACGTACTTTATAAAAAGCGTGAGATTTATATATTTCAGTCCCATTATAGCTGCAGTACATCGCGATAAATATGCTTCCTTTCGCCGAAGTTTTATACCGGGTCATTGAAAAATAATAGTCCCATAAAAGATTGAAAATTGTCATAAAGCGTTTCCCATGGGCGACATATCTGCCAAAAGAAAGAGACTCAACAAGTTAGCGCGAGTGGAAAGTCGGCATTTGCGCGCTGGGACGTCAACTCTCTTTTAAGCCTATTTGAAAAAAAAAAAGAAGAAAAAAGAAAATATGTGTGTTTTGTCGCGCAAATCAAGTTTGCGAGGATAAACCTATTTTCTTACGTAAGCCAATGTCGATTTCACCCCAAGGAAAATAGCATTTTCGGCGAAAACACACACACACATACACACGAACGCACAAATGCGACGTAACGGTAATACGAGGGAGTTGATTGTGTAATTAAAACTTGACAGCTGTTACGATAAAGTTGTTTTGTAACTAATTGTAAGCGATACTCATTATCGCGCCGTAACAAAATTATTTCTCGCAACGCAACGACAATCGTTACTCGACGCGACGTAATATTATCTTTTCACGAAATAATTCTATAGATAATTGTCGCATAAATAATACGTACAATCCATTTTCGTCAATACGTCACGATCATTGCGATGAAGCGAAATTTTTTATCGCGAATCGATGAATTTAATTTTATTCAATTCTTGTGCCAAATCGATCGATTGAAATCGTAATTTGTTCTGTTTTTCTGGCGTATAATCGGCTTTTTATTAGCTACTGAAATTGCAAACAGAAATACGGAGACTTGGATTATAAACGCGTGTTTCAAGTTAAGCGCGCGTTTGTCGAACCGCTTATCGAACGCGCTTCGATTACTAATTGTGAGAATTGCGATTCGACCGATAATCGCGCCTTCAGTTTTGCGATTCTATCGCGTTACACGATCGTTCGCGTCGCCGCTAATAATTCTGTATTTGGCGAAACAGTTTCTACTTCCGACTGATAGTATCCGCCGTAAACCGCAATGCCGGAATACCGCACAGTGTCGATTGCAATAATGCAGTTCGCCACGAATCATCATTAAACCTTCATGAGCCGAAGATAGGATGCCGCGCAACGACGTGTATACTATTAAGCCGTTAAACATCAATTACGCACTGTATTATTTAGTACGTGGGAAGGTTGTTGAGAGTGTTCGCAGCTAGTAAGCTACTGAATACCATCATCTCGACAAGATTGAATAGACCTAAATTTCGCAAACGAAATCAGAAAAAAAGGCCGATTCTTTTTGAATAGGTTTGATTTAAACTCTCCGAAACGTGCCTCGAATTATTCGGTTTGTTAAAAGACACGTTATGTAATTTGCTCAACACAGTCAACAAAACTATATATATATATATATACCGATAAATATTTTTTATACAATTTCCAAAAGACGCGAAATTGCCTATTGTTACATTTCGATTTTCTGTTTGTTATAATTTTCTTTTTTTTTTTTTTGCTCCGAAAAATAATCTGAAATAATAAATTAATAAATTAACGAATAACGAATAAACATTTTTACACGCAAAATATAAAATTGATTTTATCGAACGCGTGAAAAAAGACGTTCGTAGCAAGTGACCATCATTTCACTTCTTTGTTTCTTTTCATTGTGCGATTACGAGGGAAAATGACAAACCATTCGTGTATTCAATTGCGCGTTTCTTCAAGTAATCATTCTTAAAATAATTTCGTCACTATTTCAGGAAAAACTGTCGTTGTTTTTTTTCCTCGCCACAAAGTTAGAGAGATCGAGTTACGTTTCAACCAAATCGATTTTTCAAAAAAATCAACTTCCATTCTTACAACCCCCTCATTCTCTATCACGATCCTCCCGACTCTCTTCCACCCTTTTCTCCCTGTCGCTTCTTCCTTTCTTCTAAACTCACCTTCCCTCCCATACACACTCCCCCGTGCACAATACACACGCACGCGCACCGGATATGGAGTTTCACCTCTCAAAATCGCTCCCGCTAACTCGCCAACCCCTCTCTTCACCCTCCCGAGACGTATATTGTTTGCGGAGGTGATTTCCCGCGCGATATTTCTCCTCGCTTCCGTTTGATATTTCCTCTCTTTACCGACGACGATCCTCGTTGTGAAAATTACAAATCTCGAGGACTTTTATGATTCTGGCGGGCTGCTGGCCACGGAGGAGAGCGCACCACGTATACACGGATATCACGCGGCGGCCGGCGTGCCGCGTTGCACGGGGTCGACTGATCGAGGAGGCAGAAATGGAGGTGGTTCTGATGGTGGTGGCGGTGTCAGCGGGTGGTGGCGGCGGCAGCGGCGGCGCATCTGCGGGATTGCGCCCTGATAACTGAATTCCGAGAGGACCGTCCTCTCCGGCCGGCGAACGAATCCT